TAGATTTGACTGAATATTGAAATGGTTGCTATGAATTATAGGCTATGATTGATCCCAAGCCATAATGTTATTGTCTTGATATTTGATACTATCGACAGTGCTTTTAAAGTCGTTATAAAAGTCAAAATCAATATTTCACATAAGGTTTCGATAATACATTTCATAATTCCTATAATCAATACCTATGACATTGATTAATGGAAAAAATTATATTTTTCTTAAAAACAACTTTATAAATATCCATTATATTTAAGGACACGGTATATTTATAAAATCAATATTCAAATTCAATTTAAAACAGTTTGAAAAAATACATTATTATTGCCATATGTAGGTCTGGATGGATCGCTCAGGGATTGTATAAATTAAATGATTATTTAAATCGATAATTTTGACATCAATTTCGTACTCATTTTGGTTGAGGACCACAACTACTATCCCACTGTCCGTCCGTTTCATTGTCAACACAAACACATTATCTATGCTTTTATAATCATAAAAGAAAATTTTGCATAATTTTGCATAAAATTGCCCATGCTTATGTTACGGTATAGGACTACATAATAGTGTTGAATGAACTAAAACCGCATGGAAAACGAAAAAATGTATCATGCAAAAATACTAACCATGGTGGTAATGTTAGTAATAGCAACAATACTCTCATCGAGACTACTGTCACCGACATGCCGTCCCCTCCTAAACATACCACTCCCTCTCCATTCACTAATGATTACCACAAAGACATGACAGTCTCAGAGATCATAGACTTCTCAGACGTGGTGTTTGAGAGCGAAATACTCGCGGATCAGTTGCCGCCAGTCGTAGCCATCGATCGGCCGCTAATGGACTATAGGAACCAATTCAATGAATGCGAGGGCAGTAGACTACAGGAACTCCTATCGGGCACCTCTGTGTACGTGGAGCTATCGCAGTTACCGTTCCCCTCAGCAAATAGGATAGACGGGCACCGGATGTACGATGCGATCGCCAATAGGTTCGCGCGGTTTGTGCTGACGTTAACACAAATGTGCCGAAAGTTGTCGGCGTTTAACCAGTTGTGCGAAAACGATAGGATCTCTCTCGTCAAGTACGGCTCGTTTGACTTGTATAACGTGAGATCCATTCCCTTTTTTGATACCGGGGCCAACAGTTGGACGTTTATTTTGGTGGGTATACTGGTATTTATAGCATTCATACAAAACCTTATGTGCAGTAAACACATATTTAATAAGTAATATCTGAGCCTAAGTGCTATACCTCTAAATATCTCGTATTAAATGAGTGTTAATACAAAAATATGGTTCAATATAATTATTTTATATATAATACAAGGATAATGAGCTGGGTATAAAAGTTACGATATGTTTTGATCAGCTGAAAAACGGAAAAAGAAATGTGCACACATTGACCAAGATATTTGTAAGAAATATGTGCCGGGAGTGGGACTCCGATTTAGTGCTTCTTGATTTGGTATTTCATTAAATTGATCAATGTAATATTATATTATATAAAAAATTTATATTACATATTTAATTACAGTTAACTGCCATCATACTGTTTAATCCCAATCGACCCAAACTTATGCACCGGGAGTGTATCAAGTAAATATATTAACTTACCTAATACCAATATTTACTATTTATAATTAATTTGGTCGTAATTTCTCATAGAC